TGAGCTGTGTGGGATCTCAAGTGGGCTCTTCAAGGGGTGTAACTAGAAATCACAGGGCCCCATACAAAATTTTGCTATGGGGCCCTGTGATTTCTAGTTACGCCCCTGGGGCAGATTATGTTTTTTGTGCCAATTTGGACTTTTGTTGTGAGAGATGAACCTGGCCTTACCCTGCTTTCCTCTCATTGGTCCTTTAGTGTGGATCAAGGCCTTGCTGACCAATAGCAAGGCTTGATAGGCAGAGGAGGGCACTGCCAGGCTCACATGTCACCCAAGTAAACCACATGTGACCCATTCCTGGTTTTTTTTTGAGGATGTGTAATATCTCACCACCATTGACTGTTGATGGAGCCATGTGACCTTCATAATAATGGATTCCCTTCCTCTCTCACCCTATTGTTCTGATAATGTTTCTGTAACTCAGATGCAAAATATCCATCGTGAAGCCTTTTCTCGTTGCAGGTGCCAGTATTGATGAGATAATTGATCACCTTCACAGTCAAAGGATACAAGTGGATCTGATGAACGGGACCGACTACATGTCCGTCGCCCCGCACAGTGGGGCTTTGGATGTCATTAGTTCAGGAAAGGTAGGAGGGTGTAAGTAGTGAGTAGAGTATAGCATGCATTGCATTCATCCAATCACTGTCGGGGATGAGGTGAGCGGGGAAGAGAGCCGTGACAGGTGAGGGGCTGGATTCCCGCCTCCCTGATCCTCCAGCGCTGACTGGCGGAATGGACGGGGGAGGGGGCGGGTACAACTGGCTCTGCCTCTGGATAGGCAGAGCCAGCTGTCACTCACGCAGCTGGGCGGATCCCGGCACAATTGTCGGGATCCGCTTCAGCTGCGGCGTCTCAGTATACTGCGAGCTGTAGCTCCCTATAAACTGAGCTTAGGGTGACGGGAGGACGCTAGTTTGTGGGCAAAGAAAAAAAAGTATTAACAGTTTGTGCATCATAAAAACAAATCTATAAAAGGGATTATTTCCACTTTTTAGTGTATTGAACCCAACTGTGCTAAGGAGCATGAGAATGAAGTGATCCACAACAACTGGACTACTGGGATCACATCCAATGGGTTACTGCACATTGAACATTGCTCTTCACCTCACTGGCCAAAGATTTCAGGACACGGTGATGATTAGAATGTGTGCATGGGATATTTGCACATTCTGGCAGTTAGGAGGGTTTTGGCGTGGTCATAGTGTGGCTACATCTGCATATACAGGTGAAACTCGAATAATTAGAATATCGTGCAAAGTTCATTTATTTCACTAATGCAACTTAAAAGGTGAAACTAATATATGAGAGAGACTCATTACATGCAAAGCAAGATAATTCAAGCCGTGATTGGTCATCATTGTGATGATTATGGCTTACAGCTCATGAAAACCCCAAGAACCCCAAATCCACAACCTCAGAAAAGTAGATTATTACACGCAATCAATAACACAAGGATTGTACATAGAACAATATCGGACCTCTGAGAAGTACAAGCATGCATATGTACTCAGTACTTGGTTTGGGCCCCTTTTGCAGCACTTACTGCAATTACTTTTGCACAATATTCTAATTATTCGAGTCTCACCTGTATTATAATCACGATATATATTTTCTCTCTCTAAGGATATAAATCTGTCTGATTGTCACATCCGTACATTTCCATTGTTTGAGCTCACTGCCTCTTCTCATCGGCCTTAGTGCAATATACAATGAATAAGCAGAGCTGCCTTACACTTCACTGCGCTTCTAGGAGGGTCATTATTACTGAACCAACTTGTGCTTATGTGTCTTCTAGTATTTTATCTATGAAGCTGTGTTCAACAGTACCATGGTGCACTCCCTGCCTGTCCTCATCAACATCATCAGCAACACTCTGCTGAGACAGCTGCATGTCAATGAGAGCATCCAAGTGTGGAGCAGCCCTTTCCCCCAGGTCAGAGCATTGTTCTACTGTACACCCTCACAGGCTCCCTTAAAGGGTTAGTATTTTATTTACAGATGGAGCCTAGTGGGCTGAGTAACCCCCTTGTATGTTTTGGATGCTTCAACAGAAAGATCTCACAGCCAAAATTCCCGACTCTGCTCTTGTCTACCTGGGAGTTTTGGGTGTTCTTGCCCAACTTTATGTGTACCAGATCCTCCATAATATAAATAAATCCAGCAGGGATGGAGGGAGCCCCTCATAATGTCCACAGCAGGTGGACACAGTATTCTAACTAAAGATCTATATAGAGGAATCAGGACCCCCTTCCCCCTGCTGGGGACCCCTCTAGTGATAATAAAGATCTATATAGAGGGATCAGGACCTCCTTCCTCCTGCTGGGGACCCCTCTAGTGAAAATAAAGATCTATATAGAGGGATCAGGACCTCCTTCCTCCAGCTGGGGACCCCTCTAGTGATAATAAAGATCTATATAGAGGGATCAGGACCTCCTTCCTCCTGCTGGGGATCCCTCTAGTGATAATAAAGATCTATATAGAGGGATCAGGACCTCCTTCCTCCTGCATCAGTACATCAAAAGTGATTCTCCTGTCCACATTAGAACACACTAATGATAATTGTATATTTTATGTCAACAGGAATACTTGGATGTATCATTTAAGATCACTCTGTATTTCCTGGTCATATATCTGGGAATTTTAGCTGCTGGGATGTTGCCTTATTTTGCCATGGAGAACATCTACAACCATAAGGTAAGAATTGGAATACTGTGTCCAGTGTTCATTTCCAATAGGCCCTTCATGCCATGGTCTCCCTACCCTTTGTAGTGATGTTTTCATTTAAACAGCAGATATGTAGGTAGGGCTGCCATTCCTGACACTCAGAAAAGTGCAGCAACTATAAAAAGTTGTCAAAGTGGAGATAGAGAGATACAAAGTAACATTGTATATAAACATTGATCAGAGGGAGATAGAGAGATACAAAGTAACATTGTTTATAAACATTGATCAGAGGGAGATAGAGAGATACAAAGTAACATTGTTTATAAACATTGATCAGAGGGGAGATAGAGAGATACAAAGTAACATTGTTGCTTTTGTATCTACTCTTTGATTCATCTGTAGATCAATGGGTTGGTCTTCAATTTGCATATGTTGTCAGTTAAAGCAACCTGAGCAGTTAATATAAAAATTCTGTATTCATGAAATTACCGGAATTGAAGTGCACAAACTGAGTGTAGGGACAATAAATACACACACAGTATAGTAGTACGATCCAATCCAATGCAACGTCAATTAATACAACATCAGTGTATAGCTTGAGGTTACCTTGAGATGCTCTTTACCAATTGTTCATCTCATTCCCTACATCAGGTGAAGGCCTACACCCAACTAAAGATGTCCGGCCTCTACCAGTCTGCTTATTGGGTTGGACAAGCTGTGGTGGACATGCCTTTGTTTCTTCTGATCCTCTTCATCATGCTGGCAACTTTGTTCATCTTTAATAAGGGAATTTCCCTTTATGCTGGAACATTCGTCACCTTGGTGAGTTTCTGCAATTCTTGTCCTCTGTCCTGGTAGCCTGACCTCTTATTGTCCATCAGATTATAAATATGTCTGTCCTTCACTGGAGGACTTGACAGGCACCTGGATAATAAACTCTGCCTTTAATCTTTACATATACATACCGTTTGTTTGTGGAATTGAACTTTTCAAATCCATTTTTTTGTCAAAAAGTTGCGAATGTTGATTCAAATGGTGGTTTTGGTCAACTACAAGAAAGTGGAATTTATAGTTTCCCAAATGAGGCAGAAAAATCTGCAGTCTATGTATAAGACTGCCTTAGATTTTCCCCCTTTTCGGGTCTATTTCAATTTGAGTGCAATTCTCCATCAACTTTTATTTCGATCCTCTTTATTGAAGCCGTCATTCCACCTGTACAGACAGAAATATGGAAATTACAAATCAAAAGGTGCCTATGATCAATACAAGCCCAGATTTGACCTCCATATCAACTAAATTTTGACAATTATTTTGTAATTCTCGGTGGAATGAAGTTGGCTACGAAATTGCCATGTCTATGGCCAGCATAAGAGTTTAGTAACTGGAAACTTTCATAGACACAGAAATGGGACTTCCAGTCAACAATATGGCTTATGGACCATGGATGGCTATTTAAAGGAGAACTATGGGGTCAGGGCTTCTCCCCATAGTTCTCCTTAGGGTAACGGGAGGACACAAACTAGCGTCCTCCCGTCACCCTAAGCTCAGTATATAGGGAGCTACAGCTCGCGGTATACTGAGACGCTGCAGCCGGAGCGGATCCCGACGTAGATGACGGGATCCGCCCAGCTGCGTGACTGACAGTCGGCTCTGCCTATCTAGAGGCAAAGCCAGCTGTACCCGCCCCCTCCCCCGTCCGTTCCGCCAGTCAGCGCTGGCAGATCGGAGCGGGGAGAGGGGAATCCCTGCAGAGAGCCGTGACAGGATCGAGAAGTGAGCAAACGCCGGTATGTGTTCGCTCACCTCCCGATCTACAGAGCCGACCTGTGACAGTCTCATTGTCACAGGTCGGCTAGAACTATGAGGTGAGTGGAAATCACTCATCTCATAGTTCTCCTTTAAACATCCAGCCCTGCGTCCAGCTCTCGCCTCTGGACTTTTATTTATGGAGAATGTAGTAGGAGACATGACAAGGCTCCAGGGGAGGCGGGAACAGAGGACATGGAACTATGGAGTTCCTGTCAGATCCTTTTACCCGTCAGATCCCACTCAAATGTGAATTTGTAATCTTGCAGACATTGTTTCTCCGTTGGTCATTGAAGGACACAGCACTCTGATTCATAACCTATATGTTATGCTGCCAACTTGAGGGATTGTTGGACCCTAAATTGAAAGCTAAAAAGTGTCCAACCTTCTATTGGCTATAACCCGACTCCCACTGTTCAGCCTAAGTTGTTGCAAAGCAGCAGAAAATGAAGGAAGGACTTCCTTACAACCAAAGAACAGTGTCAACAGGCCAGCCAGAAAAGTCCACCCAAGGGGGGGGGGGGGGGGGGGGCCCCCAAAG